AAAGAGAGCAAGTAACTGGAAAATACTCAGTTTTCAAAAGCCCTCTCAAATACCAAACCAAACTTTAAACCAACAGTCATTTGTAATATCATTAAAAATGTTGCCAAGGCAAGTAGGTTTTATATTAATGCTGCCCATTGATAAACAATTGAACTATATACCTAATCCATTGTAATGATCTCATTGTGCTGAGCTGTGAAGCAGGTATTGACAGGCTTCTACTTTAGGAAGCATGCAATAGCATTGCTGCCTTTCAGCATTAGGGCCTGACCTTGCCCCTTGCAGAGTTAGGCCATTAGGTGATGTAGTAGTAGGTCTGGGCTAAACTTCTAGCTGTGTGACATACTAGTGTCTGGGGTGATGGACAGAAGGGAACCAGAATGTACATGGGGAGAGACAGCAGAGAGATAGAGTCAGTATGAAGTGAACTGTTGGACAGGCTCACAAGCGAAATGGTGTAGTGAAATAATATTTTGCACAGGATTAAAACATAACTTTTTACTAGTTATTTCAAAGGATAAATCCTTTTCTTCCATGACTCTTGCATTAGTCTATAGCTAAACTGCAAAAGCTATGTTCAATTAGCTGCTAAGTGCATAACTGCTAAAGTAAAAGGACTAAGAAAAAAATCCACTGCAGCTATTTTTCTGTTTGACAGTTTCTGCTGCATTTTACATTCCCAAGGACAACTTTTGTCTTTCAGAATATTTTGTCTTAAATAGGGACATCTGAATCTCAGGTTGAAAATGAGGCAATCTTTCTCGAGTACAACAGAAGTTTCAGAATGTATAGACTTCCCTTACTTGCTAAGAGTCTGTAAAGGCAGGTAGTAAGAGAAATCTCCTGGAAAAGAATGTGCACGTGTGATGGGGGGAAACACAAAACAGCAGCAGCTATGCATGTACTAGCACAGCTCAAATATGAGTTTATAAATATACAAAACTTTGTAATGAAGCTTTGCTACATCAATATGGAATAAAATTTTGTGCTGCTGCATTTTTTCTTACAGCATGGCACGTTTTAGAATTGAAGCTGATGTTGACTCAGCATACTGTTCAATAGTTTCCATATTTCTCTCTTAACTAAATGCAGTTTGATTCTATTCCCTACAAAAATAAATGTGTGGCATGACAAGATATGGTTTGTCAGTGACCATTTTTTCTGTTTCTAATTTAACATTGGAGAAAATATTTTTCTTAATAATGATAATGGCTCCCCTTCCAAGCATTAGTTAATGAATACAGAGGGTGATACCTCTCTGCTGCATGTGTAAGTTGTATAGATATTGTAATAAAACGATAGAGTACTTTTGAATTATGAAGAAAAAAAGTGGGCGCCAATATTTCATATAATAAATTTTAGAAGCAATACATTTACAACTTTTTGACCCAATACAAATTTCCTGTGTTCCCAAACCCTTTTCCCTTGATAGATTCTTTCATGCATTAGGTTCAGAAAGTTTCACTATTCATTTGCTTCAGTATGATTCATTTGTCTTTAACACAGCTTTATGTTCTGTAGTGTGGTGGGGAATCCTTACTGTACTATTTAGCCAAATGGCAACCTCTAGATCAGGGGTTGGCAACCTTTCAGAAGTCATGTGCCGAGTCTTCATTTATTCACTTTAATTTAAGGTTTTGCGTGCCAGTAATACATTTTAACGTTTTTTAGACGGTCTCTGTCTATATATTATATAACTACTGTTGTATGTAAAGTAAACAAGGTTTTCAAAATGTTTAAGAAACTTCATTTAAAATTAAATTAAAATGCTGATCACCTAGGCCGGCAGCGGGCTGAGTGGGGCTGGCAGCCGGGACCCCAGACCAGCAGCGGGCTGAGCAGTGTTGGGGGTCAGGACCCCAGACCAGCAGCAGGCTGAGCAGGGCTGGGGTCGTGGGGGGGGGGGGGGCGGGGGGCCGGGGGGGGGGGGGGGGGCAGGGCTCAGGGCAGGGGGCTGGGAGAACCCCCCCGATCCCAGCCCACCCCCCAGCCCTCTGCCCTGAGCCCTACACCCCCCTCACACCCCAGCTCCCTGCAGCCCTCCACGACCCCAGCCCTGACTGGCACCTCCCACGCATACCCAGCCCCCCCATGCCCCATGCCCTGACTCCTGCACCCCCCTCACACGGCCCCAGCCCTCTGCCCTGACGCCTGCACCCCCCTGAGGGCTGGGATCGCGGGGTGTGCTCCCAACCCCCTGCCCTGAGTGGCTCATGGCAGGGGCTAGAGGGACACGTCCTGATTCCATCCCCCTTTTCCCCAAGGCCTTGCTCCTGCCTCTTCTCCGCCTCCTTCCCGGTCTGAGCAGCGAGGGCGCTGGGGCGCCTCTTCTCCTCTCCCTCGCAAGGGCCATCGGCGGCAGGGAGGGAGAGGAGGCGGGGCACGATGCAGCACGCTGGGGGAAGAGGCGGGGAGGGGGAAGCTTGGCTGCCGGCGGAGCCTGCCCTACAGCAGCAGTCGGCAGGAGCAAGCTTTGTTCTGCCCCCTGCCCCCGCCAGAGAGAGTGGTAGGCGGGGGGCGGAGAAGAGCGGGCTGGGCCAGGCAGGATTTTTAATGGCACGCTGCTGCCTGCCGGGGTCCTGGCCATCAGCCCCGCTCATCCAACTGCCGGGGTTCAGCAGTGGGCTGAGCAGGGCAGCGGCAACTGCAGCATGCCATTAAAAATCGGCTCACGTGCCAATCCCTGCTCTAGTTGAATCTCCATCCCTACTTATTTACCTTGTATGCCTATTTCTATCATTCAGGCTTCTATGTCATCCCTATTTTAATGTAGGTGAATGTAGCCCTAGGATAACAATTGTTGATGTAGCATAAAAACTGAAGATAGACTGTATAAAGAAGAAAACAAAATTAATGCAAGAAAAGATGAAAGAATAACTAGAGAAGATTTAAATGAACTAATTTATAAAAGAAAATGACTGAACTAAGGGCAGGTAAATTGAAACAAGAGCATCCCTCCTCCGCAATTTTTATTATATTTAATCTTCTATTCCACTCTTCTAATATACCTACACTTCTGTAAGGCGTTTGACTTGTTATCACACAACATTTTGATTAAAAAAATAGAACGAGATAATATAAACATGGCACACATTAAATGGATTAAAAACAGACTGATTGGTCTCAATGTAATTGTAAATGGGCAAGCATCATTGAGCGGTTATGTTTTCAGTGAGGTCCCACAGGGATTGGTTCCTGGCCCTACACTATTTAACATTTTTATCAATGACATGGAAAAAAAGAATCCTCACTGATTACATTTGCAGATTACACAAAAATTGAGGGAGTGGAAAATAATGAAGAGTGATTCAGAGAAATCTGGATTGCTTGATGAACTTGGTGCAGGAAAACAATTTGCATTTTAATATAGCTAAATGTAAATGTATATATCTAAGAACAAAGAACACAGGCCACACTCACAGGATGGGGACTCTATCCTGGGAAGCAGTGACTCTGAAAATAATTTGGGGGTCATGGTCAATAATTAGCAGAACATGAGCTCCCAGGGTGACACTGTGGCCAAAAGAGCTAATGCTGACATAAGAATGTAATAATGGCCATACTGGGTCAGACCAACGGGCCATCTAGCCCAGTATCCTGTTTTCCAACAGTGGCCAAAGCCAGATGCTTCAGAAGGAATGAACAAAACAGGGTAATTACTGAGTGATCCATCCCCTGTTGTGCAGTCCCAGCATCTGGCAGTCAGAGGCTTAGGACACCCAGAGCATACGTTTGCATCCCTGACCATCTTGGCTAATAGCCATTGATGGAACTATCCTCCATACGCTAATCTAATTAGTTTTTAACCCAGTTATGCTTTTGGCCTTCACAACATCCCCTGGCAGTGAGTTCCACAGGGTGACTATATGTTGTGTGAAGTACTTCCTTCTGTTTGTTATAAACCTGATGCCTGTTAATTTCATTGGGTGACCCCTGTTTCTTGTAATATGTGAAGGAGTAAATAATGCTTCCTTATTCACTTTCTCCACACCATTCTCAAGTAGGAGGAGAGAGGTTATTTCAACTCCATATTTGGCATTGGTGCGACTGCTGCTGGAATACTATGTCTAGTTCTGGTGTTCACAATTCAACCAGAATGTTGATCAATTCGAGAGGGTTCAGAGAAGAGCCATGAGAAAAATTAAAGGCTTAGAAAACATGCCTTATAGTGATAGATGCAAAAATCCCAATCTATTGAACTTAACGAAGAGAAGGTTAAAGGGTAACTTGATTATAGTCAGTAAATATCTACATGGGAAATAAATATTTAATAGTTGGTTCTTCAACCTAGTAGAGAAAGATATAACAAGCCAATGCTTGGAAGCTGAAGCTAGACAAATTCAGACTGGAAATAAGGTATAGATTAGTAACAGTCAGAGTAACTCACCATTGGAACAATTTACCAAGGGTCATGCTGGATTCTCTATCACTGACAATTTTAAAATCAAGATTGGATGTTTGTCTAAAAGAATTGCTCTAGGAATTATTTTGGGAAAATTCTAGGCCTGTGTTATATAGGAGGGCAGACCAGATGATCACATGTCCCTTCTGGCTTTGGAATCTATTAATCTTCCATATAATAATGTTAATCTGTTATATAACCAATATATTTAGAGATACAGTAGACCTGATTTTAGTCTCACTTCCGCTTTATAGCTTCATAATTCTATTGGGCTAGATCCTCAAGTAGTGTAAGTTGGCAGAGCTCCATGGACTTCAATAGTGCTGTGCCAATGTACATCAAGTGAGGATCTGGTCCATTGACATCAATGGCTTTATTTCTGGTTTATTATAGTGTGAGATGCAAATCAAACCCTCAGTCATAAAAATGCAATTTTCAAATCTAAACAGTCTAACCACACATACTGTACAGTGAAATAAGCTAGGCAAGTATAGAATGTTTTGAGAAGTCAACAAAATTTTCTGTGCATTTAGTAATTCACTGTTTATTAAACAATAAATCAAGATCCAACAAAAAAGATAATTTTTTACTGAGTATTGTTTAGTGAACTGAGAGCCTGTCAAAAGTGTTGTTGGGAAGAACAACTAATTGATACAAATGTGAGTGCAAAGTCTCTCTTAACTTTAAAGCATGTCATTCAAAGTATACAATTTATGTGCACGATACAAATTTCATACATTTTCCTCAGTGACATTAAAAAGCGTAGTTTATTATAAACTGAAGTAAAAATTAAAATTAAAAAAGGTCACAGTTTTGTCATTGGTATGTGAAGGTTATTCCAAGGGCCCATCCAGAGCTCCTCTTCATCTGAGTGTGTGAGATCGCTGTGTGATTCCAAGGGCTCTCTGACATCCTCATTATCAACAACAGACTCTTGCTCTTCTGTGCTTTTCATTTTGTTGCCCCCAGACTTTGTTGCTATGTTGTCAGCCCCTCTAGCAGTTGAGGCAAATGAGACACTAGACGGTCTTGTGTTCAGTTTGTCACTAGAAGATGGCCCCTTTGACAATGTGTTCAATGGGACATTCTCCTCATGCGTCACTGCTAACTTGTCCAATTTCTTGAAGTGTTTCCCCAGTCTAACAGGGGATGTGACTTTTAAATTATTGGATAGACAAATGCGACGGGTTCTCACAACTGACCCATTCTGCGCAATATAGATGTTGCCATTTACATTGTTTTGAATATTGGGGTTATTAAGACGATTCCTCTGGCATTCTGGAGCACTGTCTTCTCCAGTTGAGCTGGTCTCATATTCTGGATCAACTACTAACTTGATCCTTTTCTTTCTGGCCCACTGTTTGACAACAAGAGAGAGTTTATTAAATCACAGCATAATTTATTACATTTTTCAGCTTTTATATTCTACCTAGTGTTTCAGACAAATACCTAACATATTTTATTAAGTTATTTTATAACTTTTCATTTTAATTTGTATATTGATCATTTCCATTTAACTGTGCCTATTACTGCCAAAAGCTTCAACATTAAACAATTTCCCCTACTCAATGGATGTAAAAGTATTGAGAAATCTGCATACCCGCTGTTCAACAAAATTTCAGCTAGATACCAGGTAAAGATAGAAAAATCTGACATATTTCTGAGAAAGCTCTCCAGGATTAGAAAAACATTATGATGTTTTTGCTAAATCCACATCCACCATTAGACAGTCTGCGTGCCCATGAAAATAAAGTGATTCTTTGGAGACTTCATGGCTTGACCGCACCACACCTTAAGCAGGAGGTGGGGGTAGCAAAAGGGGGAAGGCGTTATCTGGCTTGCTAGGAAAAGAGGTCAGTCTGGGGACACCGATTCATCCCTCAAGGTGACCTGACTGGAAGGGAGGAGAGAGGATATAGGAATAAGCTGGACAGGAAAAGCCCAGACCAAGCAAGCAGCACACACCCTTGGAAGTGGCGAAATACCTGGTTTGGTCAGGATCAACTGTGGGCACTGTGCTAGCTGCTCCTTTCTTTGGAGGGCTGGGAAGGAATTATTCCCTCACCGCGAGATTGGCCAAGGCAAAGTGGTTTTTTTTTGTTTTTGCCATCCTCACAATGGGTTTGGGGGGGGGGCATAGTTGGGGTGAGCATGAAACGGAAGCTAGGCTCTGATGTTGCAACTTATTATGTAAGTGTGGGGGGGGATACCCCATAGGAAAGGGATAAAAGGGATACAGTGGTCAGATAAATAGATTGGTAAAGGATTTAAAGGAAGTGTTTGTTAATGGAATGGAAATGAGGAGGGATTCAGGGCTCCCATGACTGGCACAGCAGGGAGCCCCCTTTATAGCCCACCTTAATCCTCATTCGATTGGGGGGGGGTAGATATTAAGGTCCCAGCAGTGGGTTGGCTGGGGACCAGAATGGAAAAAGGGGGAGGGTTGATAGATATTGCAACGATCATGGATTTACCTGCATTGTACACTTTTACCTGCCGGGTACTCTCAGACAAATAATAATAAAGTTGCGGCCTAATTAAACCAAATCCAGTGTCTCCTGTCCTTCTTCTGATATGGCTGGACAATGGAGATTTTCCCTTCCAGAAACATGCTTAAGAAATGTGTTGTGTAAATCATGTTATACGTAAACCAAAATCAATTTCTCAGTTGGTCATACATAGGAATATAAAATACAACATGATCACTATCATTTTATAATAGAAATTGGAATTTATTCACGTAAAACTCTGCAGAAATGGTTGTTCTTGGTAACTGCTAGTGCTAAGTGGTAAATACTCGGAAAATCACTGGAAGTTTTCTTCGAGAACATAAATATTCTGAATACTTACTACACTGTAATGTCAGCTCAGGGATAGCTTTTGACATTTCTATTTTACAATAAAGTAATAATGACAGTGGCATTTCAGGAACAAAATTGTCTTAATTTCTCAGGCAAAGGTAAAGTGTTGATAGTACTGATTAGAAAAAAATGCCATATTATTGCTTTATGTAGGACCTGATGCACCAGTCCATTACACTGGTACAAAACTGGAGTAACTCCACTGAAATCAACAGAATTACATTGCAGTAAAAATGAAGTAACACAGTGGTACATCAGGCCTGCAGATTTTATAGATTTTACACTACATGCGATATTTTCCATGGGGATCACAGAAGCTGAATGTCAGAGTTGTGACTTTGTTTTGATTGTGGTTTACATAAAACCTGTTCACATTATTTTAATTTATAGCATGAATCTCATTAGAAAGTTGCTTCCTTAATATAAAATGAACACAAGTATTATCGCTCTTGAACTAATAGTGAAAGCTCCATGTTTATTCACAGAGTTCTACTGTTAGGATACAGTATACTGGAGCTGACTTCTACAACACACTCGTGCACACACGCACACACACACCAGAGGAAAGGAGAATTTTAAAAAACAGCAAATCATGCAGTGTACAAATAAATGGTACTGAACATGCTTTTGAAAAACTAAACTTTGCACAAATTACTTACAGGGCTCTAGTCTACCTTTTTATCCTTACACATATGTATCATTTTTTTCATACTGGTATGTATCTTTTGGTCAATGGGAAAATTGACTAGTTTCAGGAAAAGATCTACAATATATGTGTAGCTACAACTTGGGGACCAAGAACTGAGTAAGAGGAAAGGAATAACTGAATCTATATGCCTTGCACATTACAAATATAGGGACACGCGCTTCCTCCTTTTACAGTCAATGGCAACAGTGTCAGTTTTAATGGTAACTGTGCCGCTTACACAGTCGTGAGCAATAGAGATACAGCTTCTATTGGAACATAGTGTAAGGAAATTTGTTTCATAGATATGAGATAATTGTCACAGTACAGTCTGCTCATGCTCTGGGGCATATTTTGTTGCCTACAAGAATACTAGTCTCCATACCTTTTGCTACTGGTTCCACAGTGCCATGGCACACTTGAGTGATGGTACAAAGAAAACATTTTCAAATTCACCTTACAAAAAAGTAAAAAATATGTTGCAAAAAAGGACAGGTGTAAAGACAATGAGCTTGCAACAGCTGCAGGGGAGTCATTAAGACTTGAGTCCATGGTTTGTGGGAGTCACATATTCTTAAGGAGATGTTTAATAATGCAGATCCTAGTTTTCCTCACATTTTCCCCCCACTCACAGAGGACTGCACCTCTCTGACATGGGATATCACAGAAGAATGGGAAAAATAGGGGTACAATACTGACTCAATTTAAATTAAGGATAAATTTCCATTGACTTCAATGGAGTCAGGATTTTACCCTATATATACAAAGCATGTCCATATATATCCTCTATTTGAAAGAATGGGCCATTGCCCCCTCAAAAATTCAGTCAATGGCAATCTCCATATTGTCAGAGATAGCAGCTATAGGCAAGAAATAGGTTTGTCTCACACAGATAGTAAACACAAGTCTGACAATTTCCCACTCATGTGAATGAAGTATTCATTAACACAGATGCCAAGAAAAAGTTTGACAAAAGAGAACTGTTTAACTTGATAGCAAGTTCAAGTATACTAGAGAATCAAACCTTTTCCTCTTTCTACTATAGCACGAGTTCGCAACCTTTTTCTTTCTTAGGCCCCCCCAACATGCTATAAAAACTCTATGGCCCACTTGTGCCACAACAACATTTTTTCTACATATAAAAGCCACGGCACATGTAGTGGGTAGCAAGCAGGGCAATTGCCCAGGACCCCATGCCACAGGGACCCACAAAGCTAAGTTGCTCAGGCTTTGGCTTCAGCCCTGGATGGCGGGGCTTGGGGCCCTGGCGCTTCAGTCTCATGCAGTGGGACTTTGGCTTTCTGGCTTGGGCCCCAACAAGTCTAATGCTGGGCCTGCTTGGCAGCCCCCTTAAACCTGCTCGTGGCCTCCCAGGGGGCCCTGGACCCCTGGCTGAGAACCACTGTACTATAGTAACTGAATTGCCTTTGTGAGACTTCCAGCTGCTGTTAGATTTATCAGCCTACTAACTTTGTAGCTCACAATCCAGGTACTGGATCAAAAGAGGTGATTCATCTTTGGTTCTATAAACTAACATTAATTTATGTGGGAACTGATTGTGAGATTTTTTTATATTGAAATTAACCTCCTACATAATCCACTGTTTGAGAAAGAGCTGTACAGTCTTTAGTACAATAAGATACAAGAAAGTGCCTACAGACTGGGTGTGTATACACATTTTTAACATTCAACGTGCTGGCTGCATGAATTAGAGCTCTGTGGGGCACAGCATCATGCAGCAGTAATTTCATATATGAAAACAAATGCAATTTGAGCTTTAAATTAGAGTCCTTTCTTCACTATCATGCCAACTCTGAATGGAACTGGAATTGTAAAGCTCTAAAACTATCATTTCTGTACTGAACAGCATCAGATACTCCAGGTCATTGAATTTTAGACAGCAAGTCCAAAAGTACAGGCACGAGGTAAACTGGACTTTTCTTGCACTACCTGCAATAAAAAATGTGGACGTAGCCAAGAAAAAAAAGTTGGTCTCTGTAGAAATTGCTCAAGTAGTATTTAACATCACCCATATTGTTACAATGATTAAAGACACTTTGCAGGTAGTTACTGAAACCTATGAGTGCCACTGTCATAAGTGCATGTTAAAAAATGTCCATTTTATAGGTGACTTTTGGGGAAAATACAACTTTTTTTGTGAATTTCTACATCTTGTTTATCTGATTCCATTTTCAAATGTGCTGCCTGAATTATTTGATACCCTCTAAACCCCAAAGTTTTGCCATGTTGAGACACAGGATGATCTAGATTCTACAGGAATGAGCACAGAGGTTAGGAATTCTAATCCTGACTCTGCCACTGATGCCCAAGACTGCAGAGAGTAAGCCACTTTTCCTCTGACTCAGTTTTCCCATCTGTAAAATGGAGATGATAATATCTACATTCAAGGGATTATTATTAAGATTAGTAAATGTTTGTACAGAACTGAACATGTAGTGAAATGCTATATGAGTGCTAAACATTGATAATCGCTATGATAATTCCTATTCCTCATTGTGGCAACTGCCTGAATGCCATAAATAAATTATAAATTATATTACAATATAAATTGCATACTATATCCAGAAGTTTGTGACAAGCTAGCCATTACTGCTAATGTAATATGCAATAATACTTTGCACCATGACTTGCACAGTGCAAAAAGGGTAAATTAAAGGACTAGTAATAAAATGCCTTTTTATTACAGGGTTAAAGTTTACACAGGGAAAAAAAGTGCATCCCTTCCTCTTAGTACTTTTTGGATTGAAATTCTATCAATGTATATTCACTTAGAATTACATTAGAGTATTTTCACTTGAGAAATGATAGCTGCATAGCTTTCTGTGTTACTAATCTTAACAGGATGGATATCAGTGCAATTGAAGTGTCTAGAGAGGATGATATTTTGTTTCTAATGTTTTAATCAAATCAGTAGTGTTCATGAAAGACCATGCAGAGGGCACAGCAAACAAGACCATTCCTTACTGCAAAATGTACACCTACTGTTCTCTCTTTTTAAAAGGATGTGGAGTCAGCAGCAGTCTCTGACTCTGATGCAGCAGTATCAGGAGTCTCATCTGACTGAAGTTCACTGTGTTTTGAGGAAATCTTTTTCCTTAGATTCTTTCTTTTCATATTGGAATCAGAACTTTGAAGATGTGAATCTTGGGAAGCATCCGTTTTACTAGAAAAAGTGGCACTCACTGAGGTCTTTGTCCCTCTGCTGCCTTTGGAAGTAACACTATTTTCACTTTCAAGGCTTTTTGATTCACTCCTACTGAGAGTTTCTTCCCTATCCTTAGTATCTATATCAATCTCTTCTGTGCTTTCAGCCATGCTACCTCCAACACTAATACCGGACTTTCTTATCTTGCTCTGTTTACTGGAAGTAGTTTTTTGACTGATGGAAGACATTTCAGACATAGTCCTATCACTTATATTGTCACCTGCCTCATCAGGGCTTGTATCATCTTGCTCCAAATATGATTTTTCATCTTCCTCTGATATCTCCTCTATCGTGTCTTCTATTTCGCTGCCAACTGTGGACATTTTGCTCTTGTAGCTGGATCCAGAACTCTTGTTTCTTTCACTGACTGATCCCTTAGAGCTAATTTCACTGTCAGAATTAATCACTTCTGACCTGTGACTGGAATCCCTTGTTCCTCCACTAGATTTACTTCCCTTACTTGACATACTAGTTCTTTCACTAACTCTTCTGCTATTGGAATCACTATACTCAGATCTGCTATAGGAACTCTGATTTGAGGATACCTTTGACTGGAAGTCATCTTCATCACTGTCAGAGAGTTTATTCCGAGAACCAGAGACTTGAGAAAGGACACTTTTTGACTCTTCCTCATCTTCTTCCTCTTCAGAGTGCTCAGATATGTCCTCTTCTGATTCATCCTGTTCATTATCTGATTTGGATACAGAATGATCATCTTCTGAATCGTGTAAATCTTCCTCCTTCTCTTCATCAGAATCTACAGTACTTTCATTGGTTTCATCTTGGTCCAGTGTCACTTTCAAATAGTCTTTATCATCTGCCTGAGAGGCAGAGATACTACTCCTTGCTTTTGATTCATCATCATCTGAAGCAGCAGATTTTCTTTTTTTCTTCTTATCATAGTCATCAGAAACATCACTATACTCTGGCTCACTTTCTGCTGTGATATTAATTGAAATTCTTGATTTTGTTTCATCTCTTTCAGATTCACTCACCCCCTGACTTTCAGAGTCTTCCCCTCCTTTTTCACTTGCAGATACTGAACTTTTGCTAGCAGAGCTCTGAGATTTGCAATGCTTTTGAAATTTTTTGGAAACACTAATGTGTTTTAGCACATGACTTAGTTTTCTGGTTGTTGAAGGTTTGTCATCTGCTGATTTCTGGAAATAATTGCCTTTGATAATCATGCTGTCTTCACTGTCCACTGGGCGAGCTGACATCAGCTTTGCATAATTGGAATCTTTGCTACTGCCTTTTACTTTCTGCAGAATCATTGGAAATATCTTTGCTTTCTTCCATGGAGAATGAGCAGACTCAGTTGTTCCTTCTCGTTTGTGGGCTTTTACGGCTATTCGACTCAACTGCATCACTGCTTTTAGTTTTCTTTTCCCCTGGCTGGTCCTATGTTCTCTTCCAGAACCATCTCTTAGATCCATCCCACCACCTAAAGCACTACCTTCTATTTGATGCCCTGCTCTCTGGCTTATACCTCTGCCTGTAGGACCTTTGCCTCGACTCATCCCCTGCAATTATGAAAATGGAACTTAATTACAATTTGAAATATTGGTATTGGGAAAACTTGCTATCCTAAAATAGTTCAGCAGGAAGAAAACAAAGAGTTAATATTATCATGCAACATTTTTCCTGGAATCAAAACCAGCTTACCTGTTACCATATAGTTTTTTTGCCAAAGTTTCTGGGACTGAAAGAAAAATGTTAACGTCTAGAATGGGCAATTAGTTCACAGTGATTTTCCTCAGTTACGGTACAAAAGACTGACTCAAACATTACAGCTTCTTTTCTAATTAATATCATTTTTTCTATCTATTGCCTCCTATTTCTGAACATTAAATTTAAACATATAACTTCAAATGAAATTTTTTTTAGCATTCACTGGGCATTTTCATTTATTTTCCTTACACTCCATTACCAAGCATTATGATAAATTATTGTAGTAACTGTTGTGTTCATCTGCAGATAATCAGTTATAGCATGTTATATTCAGTATAACTAGTGCAGATATAAGTAATATAATAAACCATTGTTTAGGAATATAATCATATATGAGGTTATATATTTTTCTTACTGGACAAGAAATCCATGATTTAATGGAAAATAGCTCTAAGTAGATTAAAAGCAGCTTTGTAATTTAAAAAAAAGGAAAGGAGATGATGAAATGAAATCATGATCTTAAAACCTTCTTTCTATTTGGAAAAGCAACTTTCTTCTTGATAATCACCAATCACCACAATTGAAAATCCCAACCAGGTTTTATTGGATCCCTAATGCAATGACTGAAGAGTCCAAAGTTGCTTAGCTAGTGTGTGCACAAAATAATGCACTAATTAATTATGCAAAGAAAACCTGGAAAGGTTAAAAGACACTGCCTTGTTACACAATAGAATCAACGGAGTATATTACACTTACGTCTCCTTCAGTTGTTGATCCATGTGGACTGTAATAATAGCTGCCATCATTTTCCACAACCACTTCACCATACTCATCATACATTCCAGTTGGAGATAACAATCGGCGACGACTCCCATATTGAGGCAATTCATACCTGGAAAAGAGACCTTTGACTTCAGATATTCTGTGTGTTTATGTATGTGCGTGTCTATATTTATCTATAGTCTCTCTCTCTCTCACCCCCCCCGAAATGAGTTTCCCTGTTCTTTTGTTATTGTCTACATATGAGAAATTGTTGATATTAAGAATATAATTTAAAACCCACTGAAATCAACAGAAAGACACTCAGATTTCAATAGGTTTTGGATCAGGCCAGAGCTATTAGGTATCCTGGATTAATCAGAAGGCTCCCAAATTTGGGCACCTTCTTCCAGGTACCTGCTTCTGTTGCCTGTTTTTATTGGGAGAGTGACTGCACCGCACCTGAAGCGGGGGGAGGGGGGGAAGAGAGGGAGGGGAAGGGATGTTGTTCAGGCTTGCTGGAGGAAGGCACTAGTGCTTTATGGCGGGTGGGGGGGGGGAAGGAAGGACAGAGGGAAAGGGGTAGAAGAAGGTTGCAAACTGCTGCAAAAAGGTGGGCGGTGGTCAGCTTTGCAGTGCTGACTCACCCCCTGGGAATGGGAGGGCAAAAGGTTTTGGAAGCTCTTTCTCCATGCAGCATCACCCACCCTCCTTCCCGTCAAGGTGCTAATATCCGGTTGGGTTAGGACCTGAAGGGGGCTAGTCACTCCTTTTTAGGGGGGCTGGGAAGGAATTTTTCCCTTACCACCAGATTGGCCTAGGTAGCATGGGATTTTTTTTCCCAACCTTCCCAACAGCGGGTTCGGGGAGGCCCTATTATTATGGTGAGCAGAAAAGTGGTTAGGCCATATGTCGCAATGGTATGTAAATTATTGCAGGTAGAAGATAAATGTAATCCTCAGGTTTTTCTAGAATCCTGAAGAAAATGAAAATTTCCAAACTGAATGCTGAAATAATAAACAGGCTAAGCCTGAAAAGCTGTATTTGCAAAGTTACATAGGAAAACTGAAAACATACCCATGTTCATAACTGTAGTAATCTTGCCCATAGTATTCTTGGCCTGGATCAATTCCAGATTCCATAGACAACTCCTGTAATCCAAAAGAGAAAACTGACTGAATGGAAAAACTTAAACACATAGTGATGGTGATAAGGAATGCAGAAAAGAGTATTACAAATTGTGTATAAGCAAGAGAAAAAAAAAAGACAAGAACTACAGTGAGTGCCTTTTATCACTACCACTTGTCATTTCAGTAATACAGTCTCAGGTGGCCATGTTATTTTTCTCATGCCCTAGCTGGGATGCTGGTGAAATCGTAATTCAAAAGGCTTCTGTGGTGCTGAAAAAAATGGTCAGAAACTACAGTTGGCACCTCAGTAATCTAAGGCCAACAGGCACAATAAATGATTTATTTTTTGTGATACATCCCTAAATATTTATTTATTTTAATGATACATCCCTAGAATATTCACAGTTAGAAAAGGCTCTAGTGTGTAAAAGTTGCACATCCTTCTGAGGGGGAAAAAAAGCTTTTTCAGTTGTACTTTACAATAGCTTTATTCAGCATAACTGACTCATCACAAATATACTGTCACTTTTCTCATAAATTTTCATTTCTTGCCTTCATGCCCCATATCTTTCCATAGGACTGTTAAAGAAGCACTCCTAACCTAAGATGAAGACTATTTTCTTTACAGTATTTGTCAGGCTCTACTTCAGAACACATCTCCAGTTGGTACAATCTGCATTATTTGCTAACAATTATTATTGGCAGTACTGGATCAGAAGGAATGATTTTGTTTACATCATACAAAAATACCATTGTACCTTTTAAAAATCTTCACAGTCCTTGGGATGCTACAGAGAAGATTATTGTCTTGCAAGGTAGACAATAAAGTCTTTTTGAAAACAAAGGCATCAAAACTTGGACTGGAGTGAGGAGGGGGAAGGTGGCTGTCTGTTACCTTTGTACTCCCCTGATCACCAGGGATCCTGGGGACAAGTCCAGCCTCGTGTAAATTAGAGCAGCCTGAGAGCTGTTCTATATTCCTTTTTCTTTTCCAGTGGCTCCTGGGAGTTGCTATGATTGCCAGGGATTGTTGGAATTCCATGGCATGCCATCACTCCTCCTTCCCCAACCTAGCACCTACGTCAACTATATTAGCTTTACTTCACCAGTGGTTCCCATATGCTAGAGAAATCCTCAGCTGACCATACTGGCCAGCTTTAAGGCAGCACTAGTACAGTGAAAAGCACTGTTTATCAGGACCAAGGATCTGACCCAAAGGACCTGCTCCTGCTCCTACTGAAATTAATGGGAGTTGTTCTACTGATTACACTGGAAGCAATATCATGTCCAAGTGATTTTAATTTAAAGCATCAAGGATATAATCCAGATCCTTCACTACACTTTTATTATTTTTGGGAAGGCAGCTGCTCACCTTATCTCTAGGAGTAATAATGACCAACTGACTGGCACCAGAGAAACTAGATAAAAATGTGATAGTAATAAAATTATGCTGTTTATTAATCTGAAAACAATGCTAGTAAACTTTGCAGTTGGTGTTGCTGAAGTCAACAGTAATGACTGAAAGAAGTGGGAGGATAGCTCCAAGGAAAAATTTCATGAGGCAGAAAATATCATATTTAATTAAAACTAAATAAATGGGATAAAAAAGTTCATTTTCTTCTTTTACAAAATAAAGATGTTTTCTTCAATAATGAAGAAAAATCTACCTGGAAAATAGAAATTTAGATCAGAAAATACTGTAAAGGCTGCTTTGAAAGTTATAGAATAGTAAGACAGGGAAAAATAGTACCTCTGGTCTGAGAAGAGAGGGTCTCAGCAATTGCTGTTGCTGACAAAGATAATTAGAAATAGAAAGGTTAATCAGACAGTGCTAGTTAATAGAGAGGTAATTTATGTTGAAACTGAAAGGTTTGAAGGAGAGCCTCCAAACACTGTTCTATCTGTATTTTTAATTTCAGAATGGCCAAAATACTTCAATACTCATTGAATACTTTTTTAGTTACATTGTATATAGGGCACCATGTAAGTACATACTGCAGTAAAATCAATTTACAGTCTGTTATTTCTTTTGTCTAATGTACAATCTAATTCCCAGTCATATGATAATTATTTTCTGAATTATTTGCTAATCTTAAATGTATTTCCAAAAGCCAGATAATTCACTGTGCAAGTTAAAAAACTTCAGAGTAGGTGGAAGGCAAATCTGTGGGCATCTTGAGATTCCTGCAGTGGCCTCTGGCCTTTGTACAGGGGTTTATACATTACTCCTCGGTACTCCTCTCCCCACATGCCTTCCACAGGCTTTCTCATGGTTACACAGGAAGTCTATGATAGAACTAATAAGAAAGCTCAGGTATCTTGATTTCCAGTCCTGTGTTTTAATCACACGATCATCACTTCCTCTTTATTTTCCTCTGTGTTTGCCGTCTTCTATGTATTTGGGTACTTATATGGCCCTTATTGCCACAGTATCTGAGCATCTCAACCATTCATAGATTTAATCATCACAATAGCCCTCTCAAGTAGAGAAGTATCATTCCCATTTTTCAATTAGGGAATTTAGGTATAAAGTAGATTAAAAAAATGTGCCTGAATTCACACTAAGTCGGTGGCTGACCTCGGGTTTGAACCTAGATCCCCTTAGTTCCACTCTAGTACCTATTCACTGCACCATCTGAGGAATACAAATAGTTTTATGTAATTGGTGGAACTATATAATTGCTAAAAACTATATTCTCTGTTCTGCTGTATGGTGTAGAGGATAACAAAAACATGTCAATATCAGAGGGAGAGCAATTGGAAGCTGCATAGAGGGCAACGGCAGCTACATATGATTATCCTGTGCTACCTCACAGCTAAACACAGCCCATTTGTGGCAATTACACTATTGAACTACTATGGGGCTCAAATTATTTGAACTAAGATCCTTCTTTATCAGTATTTATGGATTTCCCTCCCCCCACCAATAATTGCTGGATTTTTGAAAACGCCAGTATTCAGGTTTTGCTGATTTTCACGTTTTTGGGATCCAGGAATTTTTTGCAGGGGAAGCAAATGGAGCCACACTCAAGGGTCAGGGTCAGGGTCAGAAGTGGGGTGTGTCTGGTTGGGGGGTTGGAGGGGACAGTAGTCACAGGTTGTAGCCTTCCGCTTCCCTCCTGACTCCAGCCCTTCAGCGTGGCCCCGTTTACTTCCACAGAGCAGTGTGGGAGCAAGATCACAGAGAGTTCAGTCCTGGCACCCGAGATCCTCTTGACTGCTGCAGCCCCGGCTGCTGAGAATACTGAGTGCCCCTCTTGCCTGCACACTGCCCCTTATTTTCAGTTTCACTGATTTTTCCCTTTTATTTTTTTTTTAATAAACCCAGGAAATAAACGAAATAAATAACTGAAAATCAGAGGCCTTATTTATAACTTACTTTGAGTGTTGTAATTTACAACACACATCACATATTGCATTGTAATTTAGGGGCAGATGCTGCCATCCTTCCTCAAGAAGAGTAGTATCTTACTAGGTAAGATATTGAATTCAATGGGGTTATTTGTATAGTAAGGTACTACTCATGAGTTTATTTGCCAAAATAAAGCCATTTTGGAAAAAGCAGGAAGTCCTGCTACTTTCTGTATTCACCCCATCGGAGGAGACACATGAATGCAGCCCCGCAGAAGGAGCAAATCACAGCAAGGTAGCGATTTTGCAGATGCCAAAGGGGGTACAGAGCATATGGAGCTGGATACACTGCTCTTGCAGGCCCTGACATTAATGGGTTTGCCCCAGCTTTCCCCATCAATCTTCAGCCTTTTAAGAAAATTAATTTCTATTAAGGCAATTTTTTAATTTATTGTTAAGATTTCAATCAAACTAACATATTTGAAAAGAAAATTCTCTGTGTTTTAAACAGCTGAAGAAAAAGTGCTGTAAATAGGAAGATATACGTTCTCTGTTATCACACAGATTTAATAATATAGTTAGGGAATAGCCTTACCTCTTGCTGTGCATATCCTCGCCTAAATTCAGAAAAAGAAAAACATATCATTAGTACACATCTCTAAGAGTATGTAAAGATGTAGTTCATATTCACTATTTTCATGGAAGTGAGGTGGAAAAAATGTCCTTGAAAATGTTCCTAACATGGTAAGAAATATTTATCTAAGAATACAAAATCACTGTGTCTTTAGAGACAAAATAAATGCCTGGACTTACACAACTATATTTGAGGAAGAGTATTGCATCTGTGTGTTGTTTAGAGCTGCATACCGAGTCCCAGTAAGTGAGAGAGTCAGTGCAGTGGTAGAATAGGATATGGATGGGGAGAGGCAGCACACACACTGTGCATGGTGCCACTGGTCATATCCCTTGCCCGCCCATTTCCTTTCTTTCCACAGTGAGGGTGGAGTCGTGCCATAGAGATCTTCCTTGTGGCACAGAGCAGGTGCAGAATTCTCTGTTTTGCTCCCTCTTGCAGCTGATAGACACTTAGCTTTTATTTTGCTTTTGGGCTTTCTGCACCCATGCGGGGCTTGCTAGAATTTGGCCTTGAGCTTCTATTGCTAATTTCCGCTAATAACATTATTATTAAAATTATACATATCCTAACATTTCCTCAATGTATTTACATGGGCATTATATTCTTTCGGCTATCTATGGTTATTTTCCCACAGGCTTTGTGCTTTTGATCTTATTGGAATATTTTCTGTTTTTAATTCATATTCAGTAAACCACTCATATACTGGAAAAATGCTCTTATGTCTGTCAATTCTTATACTTTTACATTTCATTCCAGGAACCTTAAATGGTTTAGGCAAAAATATTGAACAGTATTTACATCTCAGTGTTGCTATAAAAGGAAAGTTTAAGTTATTTTGAAATAGAGAGGGTAAATGCTCAAAATTGTGTGGAGCTTAAACTAGTACATAGACAGCAGCGTAGGAAAATCATTTAATTACAGTTGAGAGAAAACTAAAGAACAGAATGAACACTCTCAATTTTTAATATCACTATCTGTAAAGCTTTTCTATTAATATTCAGCACATGTTATTATCAGGGTAAATTATTGCAGTTGTCCCTATGATAAGAAAGTAATGAAATGAAGATTTATCACCAAAATATGACCTTTAACCTTCCAATGCCTACTTGAGCAACACTGTATTTGGTTTCCTTGTAGCCTACAACAATCTCTAGAAATTGAAGGTCTTGAGTTTCAAGGAGGATAAGCAAAAGCAAGCCTATTAAATTTAATTGCTCTTGTATGGTCAACACACTGTAGATTAAAAGTGCAAGTAATAAAAGTAAGTTAATACTTATTTACTTTTTGAATTCAGTTTGCTGAGAATACACCGATATTGCATAATCAAGCCTTTTGAGACGTGCTTATAATGTTTCTCTACTATTAATGGTTGGACACTTTCAAAAAAGAGGCAAAACTTTCTGCACTAGCTTTCATTTCTTTTGGTATTTCACTCTACACCATAAGCTTCCATTATAAAAGGAAAGTCCAAGGTGAAACTACATATTTCATTCCCATTAAATAATGTAAAAAATCTCCCCCAAAGGATCTGTAATAATGTCTGGATAAAAAGTACCATCTGGTTTCCATGGCTTTCAATCTGACAGATGCCCTCAATTTAGTAAAAAAAGAAAAACAAGGGAAACAGTATGAATGATGATGTATGCTAATGCCAAAACATACACAACACTTATTTTATATAACTAGTGCTTATAATTAAGGATTACTGTGAAAATGAAGTTATTTGCACAAATGGCACACCTTCCACTGCTCTACATTACGAATGTAATTTGAAGGAATTTCCCAGCAGTTATCTATCCGCTTTAATCCTTCTGAGTGTTTTATTTTGTTTAAGATATTTTATATTTATTCTTGTATTAAAAGCAAAAGAAAGATCAAAAGCTAAACACAGTAAATACAAATTAGAATTAGGAATTGTTTTATTTGCTTTTTGTCTTTTGAGATAAAAGGTTTCACTCAGTTCAAAGCTAGCAAGACAAAAATTTTCTAAACATATAATAGCCATTTTTTTCTCCAAATGGCTGGGGCAAGACAGTATCTCTTACCAATTGCATACTGTTGATTGTTATTTAACTACCTTGGAACCTGAATTTTAAAAACAAACAAACAATGATTGTGTTTTAAGATTTTCTTTTAAGTAAGAAAAATTGAAATTTAGAATGGTGAGAGTTAAGGGAATGATGAAGCCAGAAACCAGCTTTAAGTATTGGATGAACTGTGGACCCTCTTTTATCTGGTGGTGAAGGAAGTGCTAGTCACTTATGTAATCAATTCACTTGTTCAATTGATCCTAAAGACAGTCAAGCTGGTACAAAAAATAGCAAATACAGGCCACATGTCCAGTCTACAGTCGACCCTAAGGAACCAGTTCAGGGAGATGACAATTAAGTTACTGGGACTAACAACAACAGCCTTGATTTTCAATGTCTTTGGAATTTATTTTGGAGACTTTTCAGTAATTTATTATTGTGCGTATTACAATAGCATACAGAGGCCTCAACTGAGACTGCACCTCCATTGTGCTAAGTGCTGTAAAAAACACTGTAAGATACAGTCCTTGCCCCCAAAGACTTTATAATCTTATAAGAAAACACAGGCAAAAGGATGTGTAACTAACAAAAAGTCATTTGTCAAGAAAAACACACTGGAGTATATTGCCAGCTAGTAGCAAAAACCTCAGCTGGCCAACCAAGGTTGCCCATAGGTATTAACTCTAATGAAAATGAAAACAAATTTAAAAAACCAAAACGCTAAAACTTTTATTAGTATTAAGGAGGGTTCTCCAAAATGATGAAGAAAGTGCAACATGTGGGTGAAGAACTAGTTCATGTGGTATCATTTTTCCCACAGATTCTTTTGAGCCTGACCAGATTAAACTAAAAAAAGGAGGCTATTGTATGCTAGGTGACCGTTCAGATTAAGGAAAGTCACACAAAATTATAGTTGAAGAAACTTTGAAGAAATTCACTATTAGCCAGATTTTCAAAAATGCTGAGCAGCTGCAGCTCCCATTGACTTCAGTGGAATGTATGGATAACTTCTGCAAATCAGGCCATATTTATCTATATAATATACTTCTCATAAGTGAATTATAGCCCTGATCCTGAAAAGACTTACATATGTGCTTAACCTTGTGCATTGGGACTAGTTCTATAGAATTCACTTGTACTGTTCAGTGTATAAAGTTAAGCACTTAAGTCTTTGCTGAATCAGGGCTTCTAAAATCTACTCAGTACACTACTGCAGTATGGCATATACATCTGACCAAATGCAAAGCATTGTAATGTTGTACGGGCAGGCCACTAATCCAGTTTTCAGACAGTCCTGCTCTTGTTTGGTTTGTCCTGTCCTGTACTGATGTAAAGCCAGATGTGGTTTCATCCAGTATCATGCATGGTAGATGCCATTCTGAAGAGCGCACCGCTCCACCCCTGCTGGTGTGACCTTGAACAGACTGTCAGGGCAGGGTCACACAGGTAGGGGTGGTCCCCTGCCATTCCTAGTAGTACTGGAATGTCTGGTATTCTGGAGATACGTCAGTGGTCACCCTAGTGTTGGGGATTATTCCAGCGACATATCCTGAATTACTGGTATACATCTAGTTTAGAGTTAAACCTTACAGACTTCTTTGCTTATTGTCTGATGGGCTGTGAGTGGAAACTTGCTTCTGGTGCTGCAGTTGTACTACTCACTGAGAATTTAGCACCGTAGGCAATTACTGTAAACACTTGAATCCTATAAAATATTAAACCTATGTTACAGCAAAAAATTGATTGATTATCATGTTCCCTACACATTTGGCTATTATCGCTATTCATTACATGCATTGGACCTAAAATCTCGCCCACTATGCAAGGAGACTGTATTAGGCATAGAGTATTTTGAATATATCAGCGGAATTTGTGTGATGAAGTTCACAGCATTTGGCTCTGGGACAAAAAAGAGAAACTACCTTCAGCAATTTCTGATTGAAACATCCATACTTGTCCCAACTGTACTGAAAAGAAAAGAAAACCACGTACTGTGGAAAAGCTGGCTATTTCTAGGCAGTTAGCTAAGTACCCTTATAATTACTTTTCTGCTTAGAACAGATAACATTTTCTCATGGACAGGTTTTAAGTTTTTATTGTAGCTTCCTTTAAGTACCAGCTCCTCACCCCACTGCATTTAATTCTATAAAAACTGTCAGGTCTAACATGATTATCTAGGATTTTGGCAAAAGAGGAGAAATAAAACTGAGCACTGAGCTAAACTTACATTCATTTTTTATGCCAAACCTCTTTTTACTTACTATTTGTTTCAAAGGACAAGCTAATTTAATATAACCGGAATATTTAAGTGTGGGTTTAATTAATGCTACCCATACTATATACATCTTTCACAGATACTTATCAAACCGTTTCTTTATGACACTGATCAGAATGATTATTACATACAAAGATACGCAAAAATGTTATTGGTGGAAATAACCTCCAATATTTAGCAAGTTAGCATGAAATATGATTAAAGAGATACCTAATTAATATGAACAAGCAAAATTAACAAGCTCTTTTTACATTAAATGGTTTACAAAAGTGAAGACTCACAATATGAAGTTTCAGAATAAAGAAAGCAATGGGAGGCATATAATGTAGATAACAAAAAGGAGGACAATAAGTTTGACTGACAAATAACCATTATCAAACCCACAAGGACAACAGTGAGATGAAAGCACGTCACCAGAGCAGAATGCTATACAATCTCCTATAGAATGACATGATACATTATTGTAACAACTTTGTCTTGTTATTGCTGAGTTCGTTTTCTAGCATCATTTGCATTTCAGTGACATTCAACATTTTACAGTAAAAGTAAGAGTTCTCCCATGATGTACACTTTATGGGTAAAGCAAGAGATGCCTTCAGTATTTCAGGATAATTGCCTTGCTTATTGACATAACCTACAACACTAGAGTACCCTTGTGACAAAACAATGCAGAGTGTTTAGAATAAAGCAGTGTCAACATATGCCTGCTACATATAGTTCATTGGTTTTAAAGGGATATTTTCCCCCATGAATCTTTTGCATGCAGACAAAGAAAATAAATCAGCATAATAAAGCAATAAAATGCAGAGTGGACAGAACTACCTTTAAAAATATTATACATTACAAAGTTATGAGTGATCAGACAAAGAAAATGGACTGTAGGTTTAGCATCAGGAACAAACAAATAGCAATATATAGCAAAGAGGAAAAAAGTCTGAATTCTTTCATCAATGTTGAAGTACTTTAACTATGGAACATATGAGGCAGATAACATGTACTGTGATAGCCATGTCATACAAAATATAACAAGAAAAAATTCAAAAAATTCAACTGCAATTTTATAATGCAGTGGACTGGGATGGAAATCGCTTTTCAAGTTCCTCAACTATACAGCTCAAGTTGCCATTCTGCTGGCTGTGCTCAGCAACAGTTTCTGTAGTTGGCAGTTCGGATGCTGAAATTGGTTTAAGCTTGGATATGTGCTTGGGTAGAATGTGGTTTTTGTCTATTTGACTGTACATGTTGGCCACAGATTTTTCAATATCTGCTAAGTTGTGAATATTTTTGAGAATTCCTTTCAACTCCCTGTGAGGTGGTGGCTCAGGTGCTGTGGCCTGTGATGATACTGGTAGCTGTTTGGCAGGGGACTTAGTATGCTTTACAGGGGAAAGGTGCTGGGTACTTAGAGTAGATGAGGAGGAGAGGGCTAGAGAAATGGTAGGAAGAGATGGAGGTTGTGGTGGCAATGGAGGAGGAGTTGGAGGAGGAAGTGGTAGCAGGGGTGGTGGAGGAGGGGGAGTTTTGGGTGGATCTGGAATGTTTTCTGTTACTTCCATTTTGGTTTGAGCAGCCAGAAAACTTTGGCAAACTGGTTTCTTTATCCTAAAAGAAGGAGTTGGTGGTTTGTGAGTTGGTGGAGGAGAAAGTTCTTCAGGACAGTCATGATGAGTGATGATTACTGAAGGAACTGCAAGTGATTGAAATTCAACTGCTTCAGTAGAAGGTGGCAAAGAGGAGAAAGGAGGAGAGCGATGGCATGGAGAAGCAAACAGACATTCAGGAGACAACTCTAGCATGTTTTCTCCTTCTTCGTGGTAGTTGCTGTGTGTTGGTGAATGTGAACATTTCATATCATAGGATTTCACTTGTTTCATTTCCTGCAAAGCCTGTTGCTCAAACTGTCTGGCCTTCTCTTTTACAGTTAACTTGGTGCCAATAATTTTTTTAAATATTGGACTGCTAATATCAACCCTGCTGTGCTGATTGTCAGTTCTTTCATTCTCTGCTTTGAGTCTTTCCTGTTGCCACTGAACTGGATCCATGATAATTGGCCTACTTAGAGCATCAGACACATGTCTCCTAGTAATACGAATTGGTAATGTCCATGCACGGTGAATGCCTCCCAAAGGGCACCCCAAAAGGGCATCTTTCAAGGCTAATCTTCTAGGTGAAAGACTGTCTAAAATATCTTTCCTCTTCCGTAGCAATGAAGAGCTGGGAGAACCTTGAACAACACCTTCCATATACAAAGGATTCTGAGTTGTTAGTGGGTTCTCATCAGATAAAAATGTAATGTTACTTGCAGATTTGGGGAGATTATTGTTCAACGATCCATTGATATTAGACTGCTTGTGAGCCTCAATAGCACGTGAAGCAAAGCTGCTTATTACTCTTTGACGGTCTCCTTCTTCTAAGACTGACTTTTTTCCCCTGCTTTGTTGGAAATGGTAGAGAAGAAAAAGACTTGAAAGAAAAGAAGATAATCACATGTAAGGAAACATGCATGTACATAGATTTTCATGAGAAAAAATGAATTTATGATGTAAATTAATGCCATAGCATTACTTCTAACATATTGTTATCCAAAATAAGTATTTACAAAAGTCTACTGAGGCAAGACATTTACTTTTACATCTTCTCTAGATGAAAAGGATATGAAGAAAAGAGGAAGAAAACAAGCTTTGACCTATATAAATGAGTTCTAACCTTAACCACATGGCCTTTCTATCCTTGTAAACAATTACACTTTCCTTTTCAATTATTATTTCCCCTTATACAGTAATCTAAACAAACACTTGAACACATTTTTCCATATATTTTGTTAGTAACAGTTTGCTACACAACATTTATGCAACCTAAAATGGAAATATAATGTAGCTTGGACTACTTCTAATATTCCAAACTCTTAAAAATTTGTCAGAAACTGTTTCAAGTATCCTTCACCTGGCCTCTTCCAAATTACAGCTGCCTGAGGCCTGGAATTTACAATTTTTTTCCTGGGCTAGTGACAAGTTTAAGTCAACTTTGGATTTGGTTAGAAATGACGCTTAAGTCCTGTAAAAAGAGAATTCCCCTTTTTTCACCAATAAGACCCAGCACTGGCTTTTAGACCTGGAAATTATGACATATTGAATTTTAAAATTGTAACTTTAGTAGAGCTTTTATGTTTCCCTGTATGTCTGGTATAGCTGAACCAATTGTAACTAATGGATGTACCTTTACAGGTGGAGTGATACAAAAAATAGTCCTAATCATTAAAAAAATATATTTCTAAAATAGTTTTTCTATAACACAAATGACATGTTCAGAACATGCATGTATAGTGGGATATGATAGCTAAATTATTCTAAATCCTACCACCTTATAGTCCTATATGTATATCAATTACAGCTATAGTACAGCTAGAGTAGTAATGACAACTACATGATAAAATAAAGTTGCCTATGAGTTCCTTTCTATTCCTCATTTTCAGTAACTCATAAATGTCTAATATTTTCAGCTTTCCAGGCTTGGTTGCTACCCAAAGTTGAATTTTTTTAAGTTTAAAAACACCAGTTTTTCTTAATCAAAAAGAATAGTTTAAAAAAAAAAAAAAACTTCTAGCATGTGATTGTAGAGTCTACCCCAGCTTGAAGCACACTAGCTATTTGTCTAGACAAGCCCCAGTATTGTACAATGTTTAGTGAAAATGGCAGGACACAGTTCTAGGAGTGCTTAGTTAAATAGTTCTATATTCTGGAATGTCTTTCTCACCCCCCCTCCCCCACAAAACCCCCAAGAAATTTCATGAACATTAGGCTAAGGGAAATTTACCGTGGCACGGTTAAACATTCCAAGGTGAGAAATCACTCAAGAACAGGGGAAAAGACATTTAAACAGTACTGAATGAGAGTAAAATAAGAAGCCACACAGATGCCCCTTTAAATATGTGGGCATAAAAGCTCAAAAATATATACATTTAGGAAATAAGGAAAGGTTACAATACAATTATTTTGTTTCTTGATTTGTCTGGAAGCTGATATACACGGAAAATCTATACTCTCAATGTATCTGGATACATGTTGACTGAGCAGGAGTGGCAGATAGGAATCATTTCATGGGGTAAAAGGACTCCTCCCTTCACACACATGTGGGAGCACACTTTTTTCCAAAAGGACCTGGGGCATTAAATGCGGCTGACAAGCAGTGGGGAGTATATGGCACCCCTGAAAAGGGCTACAGCAGAGCGGATACTCTGCCCAGTGCACGGAATAACACTGGTAAACAGAATGCATCTCAGAAACTACCACTTAGAGTAGGTCTACATTCCCAATAGTGTCAGTACTTAATGAGTATTTGATCATGGGGATTTGATATGTTATTTTACATCATTAACTTATTTTTAAACAATATGCCTTGACACATATTGGACAAGCTTCCTCAGCCATCTTAGTGATCACATGGATTTTCAAATGTAGAGACTGGCAAAATCAGTGATTCCTGAAGTTAAATGAAGATCCACTTTGCTTCCAAATACAAAGCACATACAAGCTGATATACCCTTGATATATAAGAGAATGGATTATTCGAAAAGCTGCTTGGTTGCTAGACTATTTTTATATGAAAACGCAAAAGAGTTATTTTATGATGAAACCGTAATATTTGTAGAACAATCTTTTGTCTCTTTGTTCCAACAAGGAACTGCATCAGATTGGTTTGAAGTCATATTTTTGCAAAATGGAGCAGCGATAGCTGCCTAAAAATAAATTATGGGTAAAGGATGAAAAGGTTCTGACTGAATGCGAGCTTGAGAAACCTGCTTACCTATCAATCTGTTTTAGGCATCTGGAGAGCACCAATCACCAAAGAGTGTAGGTGCTGAGACTGGAGGTCCTTAGAAATAATACTATTCAAGTTCAGCAATTACAGTTCTGTATGTAATCGCTACTTGGTACAAAAGGGTTAAGGAAAATGAAAGGAGATACACAAATCTTTCCACTTAAAAGTAAATGTCTTCCATGTAGTACACCATTGTAAAATAAAGGCTGATAATCAGTGGCAATTAATTACAGTTTTAACATAAACTAAGCATAGAAGAATCAACAACTGTTTCTATTCGCTACAAATATTATGCATGATGAAGTAAGTTTACTTACTGATGCCTATGTATCCAAAGATGGAGAAAGAATGGAAGTCATGAGACATAAGACAGATTTAAAACAAAAAAAAGTTTAGTTCCAATTAACTTTCCACAAAAACCAAATTAAGAAAATAAGACATAAGGCAGCACTACAGAAAGAAAATGTTTGACAAAGGACAGTTATGGAAAGGCATGAAAAATAAAGACAAGTTTTTCAATTTTCTTAAATTTCCATTATTTGGTATTTAAGAAAATTGTTGGAGATTCAAGAAATAATTGAGAAGAAAAAATAAAGTAATGCATAAGGTTATAATATACTATAGCAATTTAAATGTAATATTGCAATTCACCTGCAAGTTAAAAATGAGTTTACAATATTCTACTATAATTTTTTTTCCTGAAAATTGATTTTCTGAGGTAGATTGTTGCCTTTAGATCAAATATTGGATTCAGTTAAACTTCACGGATTTTTTATAAACTTTTATTTAAATTTTATTGAAAAACATGATCTCTTTAAAATTATTAGGTGCATTGATTTACATTATTTTTCCATATCTCTATCTTCTACTTGAGATTCCTTGATCAATATCTCAGTGTTGTGGAAATATTAATTGTCATTTTTTCAATGGGTTATTTTTTTATATATATAAAAAATATATATATATATTCCATAGGTGCTTTACAGGGAAAAATCTGTATTTGCTAAATTTATACTTTTAGTTGAAGTGCTGTTAGAAATCTGAGTAAGTGTGTCTCTAAATCAGAAGTGCAAGTATTCAGATTTGCATCTGCAACTCATTTTGCCTATGCAAAACTTTGCAGGTGCAAATTTTGTCCACAGACACTAAGGCTTGGTCTTAGCCTGGCTGAAAGCACATCAATTAGATGGAGAATGCAGACTCATAAGGCTTCCAATACCCATTTGTAGTAAAGTGAATTGCAGTCTTCCTTTTACTTTCACAGGAATTGGGTTAGACTTTAAGGAACCAGGGTCTTGATCCAGCAAAGTACATCAGCATGGGTGTAATTATAAAGATGTGAGTAGTCCCACCTAGATCAAGACCTAGAACTCACATACCATAACCTTTTAAATTCTATGTGTGTTGTATTTCTGTGAAACATACTTCTTTCTTCCAGCTACCCAAACAGTAACAATTCACAGGCATAAAATGCCATGGGGCGGGGGGGGGGGGGGGGGATCAGTGGTTAATTCTGGGTGAGAAGCTACTCCTGCTTCAATGAGTAATGCAAAGGTTCTCTATTCACAAAGAGAAATTCAACCCAAAACATTTGGAAATCAGACACTGTCTTTAAATAATCAAAACTTAAAACATACTATAGCAATGATATCTTTGCCCTGCTATAGTAACATTTTTATAAACTCATATATATGAACTCTCTGATCAAGGGGGAAAAGGTGACTTCAAAATAGAACAAAAATCAGCCAACACTAGATAGCACACACCCCCAAATACTTTATGAAGTCTATTCTTTTTAGTGTTGTCATCTTAATGTTATTCTTTTAAAATAATACAAAAGTAATAAATATTTTCTGACATTAGCCTATAAACAAAAATATTGTATGTGTAAATATTTCCTGTACTATGCTATTATGGTCTGTTCATACTGTGTTGATTTCTGCTTGCAGTCCCTTGACTACAATTAAGTTACATCAGTGCATGAGTACAATTCACCCTTTCTTAGTAATGTAATGTCTTAATAGAACAATGACTTTGGTCATATCATACTGTTAGAAAAGAAGACCCAAGACACCTTCCAGCTACAAATATGTTACCAACATATAATGGTAAAAAGATGCTTTCCTTTAACTACTTTTTTTTTTTACAATCTATTTTATTGACCCATTGTGTTTTTTTTCAACATTTAAATTACTTCAGATTTACAAAGAAAAAACTTTAGCCAATGGAAGATTTCATACTGAGATGTCTATCAAATGGGTTTTCTGATTGAGTTTTATAAAGTATATTCAGCAGGCGGCTTGGAAGAAATAACTTTTGGGCCAAGTTCTCAAACGTGCTAGAGCTGCATTCAGTACATCTGAGAAGTAAAGGCTTTTTGCCACCTTTAAATCCCCCTAACCTTGATGCAAACTAGAGCAGCCTCAGGACTATTTTAACTTGCTTTAGCACCTATGGGCTGTTGTGCTGGCCCCAAAACACTGAAGTGCAGTGTGCACTTTATACTTAGACACCTTTTACTTCCTCTGGAGATTCCCCATACAAGGAGAAATCCCAGCTGACTGCCCCATATTCTGTCCCTTTTGTGCCACGGTAGCACAACTGAGTTTCCAGCCCTCTTACTTATTTTCTTGATTTTGAAGAAGCTCAAGTTGTTTGTGGAATATACCCTCATCAAGAAAAGTCTATTCAATTATGTTGTAATAAATGACATTTCAGAAATGTGACTTATGCCTTGGTTCACTAACAATTTTAGTGATGACTCACAATGAATACTTACATGGTGCTGTCACCGAGTTCTTCATAGAGATTATTGGCAGCGCTACTTGATGGTTTGCCGGCTGGTAAGGCCATCTGGATTCTTGCTGTCTTTGCACATTCAGCTTGCCGTCTTTGGTAAGTTGTGCAGGGAGGGAAAAAAAATAGGTGTTAGAAATATTCTATAGCTTACATGGGCTGACATACAGTAGTCAGATGGTAGTTCCTCAAACATTATTGGTTTTGTATTCAAAGAAAGGTAATCATGTGAGCAATTTGTTTCAGCTTTGTATCACTCCATGGCTTGCTATTTCATTATGGAATTCCAGATCTCCAAAATGTATCTAAATACTATCACCCACTTTTAAATAATTGCCAAACCACCTGATCACCATGAAATAATAAAACATTAATTAGCAATTACATTTAATTGAGTAAGAGGTCAATTAAGCTTTAACAATACTTGTTTTCATCAGGTGGTATGTGGTGAACTGGCTGTTTTGGCAAAGTCCTTAGTTTATTGACAATTAATGTCACATTTAAATTTAAACATTTGTAAAGTCTCATTCAAAGTTTAATTTTTATGACTTGTAACATCTTTATCAGCATAAGAGCTGGTCAACAATTTCCCATTTGAATGATTTTTCCAAATGTCCTTGTTGTAAAATCAAAATTTTCTGCACGAAAATTTCAGTTTTGTTGAAAATTTTTGATGGTCTATCATCAGGAAAATTGAAATGATGGCAACCTGGAAAGCTCTTGTTAATTTCACCTTCTGTCTGCAGGCAGAAAGTGAAAGTAACAAGAGCCTTCCAGGCAGCTGCAGAGACTGAGCACTCTTCTTACTGATACAATAAATCCAAGCATCACTCAGTGGCTGCTTATCGGTGGTAAACCCTCCAAAGAGAAATAGGTGATCTGATGAAACAGGAGTTAAGGAATGCCAAGATCGGCCTACTAGGCAAATGCCTTGTGTAATTATTTCATTCCACTCCCATGTGTCCAAATAAAGACGATAAAGATCTGGGTTAGAGGTGAGGCAAGGAGGCTGAACTCCAGGGAGGTAAAGAACCAGGGAAGAAAATTAAATTGACAAGAGTCTTCTAGGTGGGCAGCTGACAAGCCTGAAAATTCCATTTTGGATGTCCTGAAACCAAATTTTTCAGGAAATCTCTTTCTGCAAAAATATTTACATTTTTTTGAAAAAAAAAAAAAAAAACATTAATTTTTTCACAGGAAGGGACTTCCTTTTTTTGACCAGCTCTAGTCAACATGTAGACCATAAATTCAAGCCCTCTAGTTCATTTGTAGGGGTGAGAAAGAGCAAATAATTACCATGTAACTGGTAACAGGATTGAGAGAAATTTAATTCAGAATAGAGTACAACAGACTCTATCTTGATTTTCAAAATAAATCATGATTATTATTCTTCATATTTATATTATGGTAGTGCCTGGAGCTAAGATGTCATTTACTGAAGTTCTAAAATCATCTAAAAATAGGGAAATAAAACTGGTTCATTATAAAATATATCAGCATTGTTACATTAAAAAAAATCCTCTCGTATTTGGCTGAAAAGATTTGGATGGTAAATAGGGTTTCCAAGCTCTTACTCTTTAACCTTCCTCCCTGCACCCCCCAAATTAACAATACTGAAGTCTGAAATTCTCAGACCCTGGATTGCTCTGGCATTACCCAATAATTGTTTCTTCTGAAGAACTAACTTCATTTCCCCTTTAGAATGCTAGTTTTAAATAATGATATTCATAACCAGGTATTTCTGGGATATGCACTATTCATAGTATATAACCATTACTGATATTGTGCTAAATTAGCCCTGATATAATTCTATTTAATTGAATTGAGTTACTCCAGGGATGAATTTGGTTTACTGACTTCATGTTTCAACGAACATTTATCTCCTGGGTCAATAAATCATGATGTTCACCTCAACAGAAGTCAATATCTGCTAATGACATCTCATAAACATTAAAAGGCCACACAAAGCCATGGAACTCATGGTAAAGAACAATCACCCAATGATTACAAAATTATACAAAGATACAGAAATATAAACAGCAAAGGATAGGATCATCTTCTCTATTCTGTGCTCTATATAAGTGTAACACTGACAGACCCTGGTTGTCGGCGGGTGGCCCTTAGCTAAGGCTCTAGAGCAGACTCATTAATCTCTCTCTCTAAGTGGTCTTGGTGCCATTAGATGGGATAGAACACCACACCCAGGAGGTGTGTGGGTTACATAAGCAAAGCCTTCACATTTTATTGTGTTTTCTTCAGCATATCTGTCCACATTTCCAAATTCAAATTAATAAAATAAATGATGTAAAAAGCAAGTGGTTCAATTAACACAAAAAAATCAAGTTTATTGGCGTATATACATATATAGATAGATATGTGGGGGGTGTTTTCAGTTTAATATAAACTATTTTTAATATCAAGCTACTATTTATTTAGTATACCTCTACCCCGATATAATGGTGTCCTCGGGAGCTGAAAATTCTTACCGTGTTATAGGTGAAACCACGTTATATCGAACTTGCTTTGATCCACCGGAGTACACAGCCCCCCCCATCCCCCGAGCACTGCTTTACTGTGTTATATCCGAATTCGTGTTATATCGGGTCGCGTTATATCGGGGTAGAGGTGTATGTATGTGTCACATAAAAGATATTTTAGCGTTTAACCCTATTACTTGGATTCCCTAGCTAGGCAGAGCCTGTGAAAAAGTTAAGAGAACATTTAATTCAGAGTTTTTTGAAGCACCCCTCAATGGGGAGGGATGGGCAGCCTGTGAGTTGGCAAGAGTAAGTCCATTTGGTATCATAATTTTCAGGATCAAAGGGAAAAGGACCCCTTATATGAACAGAGGCAGGCACCATCTTACTGGCTTCCCCTTCCTAGCAATTTGGCTCCTGGAGTAGAAGGGACAGCTGGCGTAAACATATTGTGGCTTCTTAGGAGCACCTATGGAATTGATTCTCACCAGAATTAACCTTCACTAGAGTCATGAATGAAATAGGGGATGTTGTTGTGCCTCCATGTCCCACACAGCCCCAACAGAAAATTCTTCTCAGGGAAAAAGAGAGATTGTTGTTGTGGAAGCATTATTTCACCTTCAGTATGGGCCTAAGACCCCCTCCATGTGCTTTAGTGAAGCAGACACTCAGAGCATACCATTGATTTACCAAACCTGGTATCTTGGCTATGACCCTGGCCAACACCTGATCTTTTATAAGATGGCATCCCATCTTTAAACCTGTGCATAAAATCGGTTTCAGAGTAGCAGCCGTGTTTAATTAATTGTATAATGCTGTACAATGGGGAAAAAATCCTTTCTTCTCTCTGCAGGCAAACAACATGACATTTGATTGCCTTATCTTAGCACATAACTGAATGTTTTATTAATTGGTCATAAAATTAACAAGTTTTTTTTAAATCTCAGGTAGCAATGCATTCTACAGTTTGACTATATGAAGTATTTCCTTTCACTGGCAATACATTTACTTCCCTTAAATTTCAAATGGCCTTTGTTCTTGTATAATGATAAAAAGTAGATACTGATCAGCTATCATTATTCTTAAACAAGGTGTAAGAAGCAAATCTAAAAGTAAATACTTACTCTTTAAATCTGTTGTCATGCGAGAGAGAGAGAGAGAGAGAAAGTCATGTTAGAAGTGTTCCATTTATAACAACAATTATCTGAAACAGTGAACCTTATATTCATAATAAACTAAGAGTGACAATCATTTTATATGTTAAATTGCAAAATTAATGACATATTTAAGAATCATTATGTTTCAGTAACTGAAAATCATTTAGTTCCTTTTGTGATTGTGAGACTGTTATAAAACTATCATCCATAAACATGAATTACAGGGGGACAAATCAGTTATGGGCTACACAGAATCTGAAAAAAATATTGATTAAAGATGTGGATATTGAAGTATGAATTAGGATTTTTACAAGTGGAATATTAAAGATGAAGTAATTTTTATAATTGCCTCCTCATTTTAACACGGTGAATATTAAATAAACAGTCCTTCATAGTAAAGCACAATTACATTTTGGCTTCTATGTAGAATATGCCACCCTTGCTATGATTAATTCATACTATATTTTTCATAATTGGCTTTTTGGTTTGTCCTAGATAGTGAATTTCAAAGCATCACTTAAAAGAAAATAATAATGATAATTTATTAGATTATTTACAAGCAATACATACAGTCAGTGAGCTGTGCTTTAACAGTGATAATTTCACATTAAAAGTAAGCAATGTAAAACTCATTTAGTTTAACTTTTATTTTTTTAAAAATGTAATAAGTAAAATTAATTCTTTGGATGTTAGCTGATCATTGAGCTGGAAAGTATTGAAAAACTACCCACTACACACAAAAGAGTTTTAATATCAAGCAAGTCTTAATGTTTCCATTATATGTGCACTGAATGTGACAGTTACATTTATTCAGCTATAATCTTTGCACTAAGTGGCAAAATTGAGCAGCTAGTTTGCCAGAAATGTTATCGGGAGATTATATTAAAGCAGCTTTGAAAAAGGGGAGCTAAGGAGTAAGACAAAAATGAACTTGTTCAATATAGTATAAGGTTTATATTAAGATGGAAATCATGTATATTCTCTTCAGTCTAAATGAATTCTATTGATTTATTTTTCATAATACTAATAATTTATTTGTGGTGGTTCGATATAAAGTCCAACTCTACATGATACCTGTAGACAAAAAAATTGTGATTTTAGATGGACGGCAGCTAAATAGATTCCTTAAAGCAGCCTGATATATTTGGGACCTGATTCTGTTCCAATGGATGTCAAGGGGAATTTTGCAATTCGCTTTTCCTTCCTTGAAAGAAATCACACAGAAGTCACATTGCAAACTAATGAGAACCTTTGTTTAGTAAAAATTTACTGCATGAAAATTTTAAACACAGTCTGACTCAAGAAACATGGGAGGCCTGATCCAACATAGGGATATATTTTCTGGAAGCATATTCTGAGGTGCAGGGCTCTCAATGGTATATTTTGCCTGGAAGGGGAATGGTTAAACACTGCTTGGGGAGAGGAGTGTGGATAGGAAACCTGGAGGATGTGCTTGTTCAGCACATACTCCCCATTCAATCCTGACAGAAGGGCTCCAGTCTGGATTGCCTGAGGTGCTTTAGGGTTATCCTCCCCAGGTACAGCCCCTGGCTAATGCAGGAGCTGATTAAACCCATGGCCTTTCAGACACTTTTTGGAGGATTAGTCTCTAAAAAAAACCTGGTAAAATTCAGATATAAATGTTACTCAAACAAATATCAGCCATTTAAAAATAGGTATAAACCAGTTACTCCTCTTATGTGACTATTAAGCATGCCTTTAGGCATACTAGTGTTCTTTCATGCAGTGATATATCCTTAAAAGATTAAGTAAATTTGATTTATAACACAGACCACCAGAATGCTGATCATCCCTATCTCTAGGGAATATTCTAACTCAGCTATTAAAAATGCCAAAATACAAGTACTCCATTTTTAAAGAGAATTGTTACTCAACTTACAGTTGTAAAACGTAAGATTGCTTTTGATTTTATTATCTGGATTTTATCATGGGGGGGAGGGATAGCTCAGTGGTTTGAGCATTGGCCTGCTAAACCCAGGGTTGTGAGTTCAATCCTTGAGAGGACCACTTAGGGATCTGGGGTATTTGGTCCTGCTAGCAAAGGCAGGGGGCTGGACTCAATGACCTTTCAAGGTCCTTTCCAGTTCTATGAGATAGGTATATCTCCATATTAAAAAAAAAATAAAAATAAAAAGTGGTATCCACATACAATATATAATGGCTACAGGACAGATATACAGCCAAATTTAGCCCTATCATAAGTACAACTAAATTTATGTCACTGTAGTTGCAGTTACTTATGACAGGGCATTGACAAACAGTACTGTTTCTATCCCAGTTACCGTGTGGGAAGGAACAGCACGACTGGTAAGCCTAAAATCTCACCTGGTAAATTACACCATATTGTAGACCTGCAATAATATTCATATTCCAGTGAGCTATTATAATACATGCGCATTGGTTTCTTTATATTCTTTCACCCAGTGATACATGGCCTCAAGTTGTGGTCTGCAAAGGCACTGGTACTTAATTGTCCCAATATAACAGACAGGGATCTGATAGCGGGGCATCCTCTGTAAGAACTTCTGAGCTCTGGAAAGCCCTCCCACACTTGGTTCTAAGTAGCTGAGATTTGCAGAGTAATAGGGCATGCTGCAGGGCCCATTTGCTTTACCTGGCCTTTGAAGAGAAGGAGAGGGATTGAGGTATAGGCTGATGTATGGAGGTGTTAGTATTTGATTATCGACTACTGTCTGGTGGAAGGTGTGAGCTCACTGAATTGCATTTTGTTTTTGTAATTTTAAATATTGGAAGGTTGCTCAGAGATTGTATATGGACACTGTTTATTTTATTTTTATTGAAAGGAAAAAGGAAATGTTATATATGGTCTCAATTTCCAACTGAGTATATGGATTAATGAGAAAACCTCAAACTGTTGGGTCAGATGAGCATCCAAAAGTTGAGATGTTTATCCATTTGTTAGCCAAACTATTTAAAATTCTTGAATCCATTAAGTGTAACAAGAAATTTAAAGCAAATAGATTCTCATGAGATTTCTGCCTATTCAAAAAAAGCTAGAATACAACAAGAGCAACCTTTCTACGGTATGTTTTAATGCTTGAACTTCAGTCCCAGCTGGAACCAAGTAGTTCACAGGTATGAAAAAATCAAAAATAATAACTGCCTCATATTTTAGAGCCACAATAAAATTTTGGGACGTCTCATTTTCCCTGCAATATGAAAGTTGAATCTCGATTCATATACTGAGCTACCAACAGTTTGGGCATATATGGACCCAGAGTTCTGGCTGAAGCATGATAAAGAGAAAGCTAGATATGAAATTCAGATTGCAATCCGTGTTCACATGTTTGATATTTGGATTCAGGGTTTTGGTTTCACTTCATCTATAATCTGAAAGAATTACTCCATCATATATATATAATTAATATAAAAAATACACATATACATAAAGACATGATGAGGAGTCAGACATTAAAAATAACCAGACTGTAGATTGGCTATGTGGAACAACTTTCAAAGCAGACCAGTGTTCAGGGCTACCAACTGTATTTCCCCTTGTAGTAAGTGTATAGGTTATTAGAAAGAATTTTCAATGACAAAGAAATTTGGAGTACTTACTGTCTGTAGCTGACCATAACTATTAAAATAGCAGGCATGCAGCAAAGGATGATTATGACAGCCAAAGCAAGCAATGCCCCTTCTGTGTAGCCTACAGCTTGTGCCTGCTTCTTAACATTGGCCACCACGTCTGGGGTGCGGATTTCCAGAATACGTCCTCCTTGCCCAAGGTATGGCTGAAATTCTTTATTGATATCCAGAAGTTTTCCATCCAAGAACCTTCAATATTACAAAACAAAACTATTACAGCAGACCTAGTTAATTCTGTTCTGACTATTAGTTCACTGAGTTAATAACTATATGTTCTGTATATACTGCTATAATATATATCTCATCTTTATGTACTTACAACTCTTACTATTCTTTCATAACCCCTTTTTCAGTATTATCATTGATGTATTTAATAGTAATCTCCCCTAGAGACTGATACCTTGATGTGTTGGGGTCACTTGTCTCCATGACCCCAGGAGCTACTTCAATGGGAGTTAGAGTTAAACAAATATGACAGATTGAAGGACAGAGACCAGGCATAAAAAAAAAAAATCAGTCTTCTGGTCCTCCTGGTTGGGTGTTGAGCATGAAGTTGATTTAACCCCATACAATACTTTTGTTATGGAAACAGCAGAACAAATAAAATGCCAAATACAGATCCTTGGATAGGTTGGATAGCCCTCAAATGGACAGCATGATGGATATCAGCCAAAAACAGCTATGAAAGGACACTGTTGCCCTGAAGAACTGAGAGTTCCAGGCTTGTTCCAAACTTTGTGTGGGGTTTTGGAATGTGAGGACTATGTTAGCATCAGAAAGTCAGCCCAAATCATCAAAGAAATGGAAAATTATAACATAGAATGCAGGTGGCCAGATGCAGATATAATCAAAATGACTGCCTAGGAAGGAGTACTGTGGAAAGGGATCTGGGGGTCATAGTGGATCACAAGCTAAATATGAGTCAACAGTGTAACGCTGTTGCAAAAAAAGCAAACATCATTCTGGGATGTATTAGCAGGAGTATTGTAAGCAAGACACAAGAAGTAATTCTTCCACTCTACTCCGCGCTGATTAGGCCTCAACTGGAGTATTGTGTCCAGTTTGGGGTACCGCATTTCAGGAAAGATGTGGACAAATTGCAGAAAGTCCAGAGAAGAGCAACAAAATGATTAAAGGTCTAGAAAACATGACCTATGAAGGAAGATTGAAAAAATTGGGTTTGTTTAGTCTGGAGATGAGAAGACTGAGACGGGACATAACAGTTTTCAAGTACATAAAAGGTTGTTACAAGGAGGAGGGAGAAAAATTGTTCTTCTTAACCTCTAAGGATAGGAAAAGAAGCAATGGGCTTAAATTGCAGCAAGGGCGGTTTAGGTTGGACATTAGGAAAAACTTCCTAACTGTCAGAGTGGTTAAGCACTGGAATAAATTGCCTAGGGAGGTGGTGGAATCTCAATCATTGGGGATTTTTAAGAGCAGGTTGGACAAACACCTGTCAGGGATGGTCTAGATAACACTTAGTCCTGCCTTGAGTGCAGGGGACTGGACTAGATGACCTCTTGAGGTCCCTTCTAGTTATATGATTCTATGAAAATGAAAAACAACAATTAAAACTGATTTTACCCATGAAATCCAGATGGCGGAAGAGAAGGAACTGCATTGATCTTGAATGTTGATGCACAAAGAGCAATTTTAGACTGGTAATCAGTTAATGGCAAAATTATACAGGCAAGATTTCAGATACTGTCATTCAATGTTATACCCTACTGAATGAATACGACAAGGTCGATCAGCCTACTTGTTATAACATTCTGCAGGACTTCATCAGCAAAGTCCCACAACATGATATTCTCATTGTTTTGGGCAATATGATAATCATGGCATAATGGCACACATGGAACTGGCTTCCATCAAAATGGTGGCAAATATGTTCTTGAACTATGTCAGTTGAATCACTTTATTATTAAAGGGATACTCTTTCCTCATAAAGAGAACCATAAAACAACATGGATCTCCCCGACACCATTACTAAAAATAAAATAGATCATTTTTGTACATACAATGTTCTAATTATCACTTCAAGATGTCTGCATATACAATGGGGCATACGTAGGCAGTGATCATCAACCATGTATTGCCACCATGAAAATGAAATTGAGGAAACTACGAGTAAAGAAAATTACAAGAAAGGTTAACATAATTAAGCTTGGGAATAAACAAATAAGGAATGTTTCTGAATTACAGTTTTCAAACAAGCTTTCAAATATGGCAGAAACAGTATTTAAATGACAAAGAAATGGCATGGGAAGCCATTAGCAAATCGAATATCATCCTTGAATCTAGCAAAGGTAAGAAGGAAGAGTGGACTATCAAGACCACATGGGATGTTATTGCATAAAGAAAACAAGCTAAGGTAAATCTACTCAATGCCTTAAGGCCAAAGTAAGGTAATCAATGAAAAGAGGAATATAGAGATAAAGAAGTAAAAAAAGATCAGCCAGAAAAAGCATATATCAATAGATAAGCACTGGAAACAGAAATGGCAGCAATGAAGGAACACATGAAAACACTTTATCAAACCACTATATGACTTGCTGGAGACTTTAGCCACAGCAGGGAAGGTCCAATGAAAGATAAGCAAGGGAAAACCTTAGACCAGCAAACAAAAAGATGGATAGAACACTTCCATGACATCCTTAACAGATTCTTGCCAGAAATAACGTTTAACTTCGATAATCATAGAATCATAGGGCTAGAAGGGACTGCAAGGGTCATCTAGTTTAACCCCCTGCCAAGATGCAGGATTTGTTGTGTCTAAACCATAAAAGACTAGATGGCTATCCAGCCTGCTTTTGAAAACCTCCAGCAACCTCCCTAGGCAGTCTGTTCCATTGTCCTACTGTTCTTACAGTTAGGAATTCCCTCCCCCGCCCCCATCTTTTCTAGGGAAGAGGGCAGAACTTGATGTTTGCTGTGAGGATATTACTCTGGATGAACTTAAAGTAGCCATAGAAAGATTAAACAACAACAAATCACCAGGTGAATATCAAATCACAGCAGAAGTCCACCCCCGACTCTAGGCTTCAGAGCCCAAGCTCCACCCTGAGCTGCACCTTCAAAGTACTGTTTATACAGCTATTTTTACAGCACCAGCCCACTAGCTTGAGTCTTTTGACCTGGGCTGGGAGGCTCACTCTGAAATGTTTAAACATATCCTGAATGACCTCACTTCCCTCATATTAAAAGGAATGGGATTCCATGGAGAATATGCCACTAAACTGCCTTTCAATAATTTTTGATGTCATTCTTACATCTGCTCTGCATAAGAAGTTAGATCATTTAGTCTCTAAGTATGTGCTATTTATCCAACAAAGCATAGCATGTATTGGGCCAGATTCTTTCCTGTGTCAAGATCTGCTTGGGGCTGGGGGTAAATGAGCAAGCCACAATTATCAAGCCACACCTGCTCCAGTGATTGTGTAAATTAGAGAAAGCTAGGGAAATGCCCTGTATGCTCAGGTGGGGGAATGGCTGATGCAGGAACCTGTTCAAGCTAGTTCATAGTACCTACTCTTTCAAGGGAATTCTTAGCTGAGCAGTTGTGTCCAGATTCCTGAGTGGCATGCAAAGAGGCTGGAACAGGGGAAAATAATACCCACAATCTTTATAATACTTTAACTACATTAAGTAGAGCATGATCATACATTTTTAAAGTTAGTTTGGGACTCATGAAAGTTGCTAGTCTGACATCAATGTAAACCGAGTGTTCTATTTATTCAGAGAATGTACAGTACAAAAATCAGTGTAAAATCGATATCATGCCACCATATATTTTCAACCCTCTTCTGGAAGAAGTACTACTACTATAGTATAATGCATGCAGTGTAGTTGTAGCCGTGTTGGTCCCAGCATGTTAGAGAGACAACATGGATGAGGTAATATCTTTTACTAGATGAAGTTCTGTTGGTGAGAGAGACAAACTTTCAAAGAAGAGCTCTGTGTAGCTCAAAAGCCTGTCTCTTTCTGCTGAGATTTTCACCATAAAAGCAATTGAGATAATCTTGTCCACTACACACTGGCTATATCCTATTAGCTCATTTTACATATGTCATCAAGACAGCCATCAGATGACAATACAATTTGATCACAACCAACATTGACTAATATTCTCAATTCTGGACTGTTGGCTTCTGACTATTAGTAGAAAACTATAACAACACAGGTATGAAAATAGACAAAGGAGTTTGCCAGGATAGGTTTAGACACTACTGGAAATTAGAGTTAATCATCAGGGACTACATTCTACTGTCATTACTCAAAATCTACAGTAACTACAGATGTATAATAGTGTAAAAGAGTATAATTTTGGACCAAAGTTAACAAACCAGTGTACTGAGATACACTGAAAAAAGCAAAATAAATTTTGCTGAAACTAGAGATAGTATTGCTTAGTTTAGGTGTCAGATCGCAGTTTTGTAACCTGATCTGAGTAAGGGGCAGCATATGGCTATGCTATTCCAGGAGCGCACCAGGGAATTAATTGTGATTGAGAGTCACAATTAATTCCCTTATTCTCCACTTACCGAACAGGAATAGGGCTGTTCAAAAATTTTCCATCTTAATTGTTTTTCAATGAAAAATTTTGGTTTTGATTAAACTACAAATTAAAATTGCCACAAAGAGTATCTGCTTTCCACAGAAAAAAATCATTTTTAAATCAAAATGTTTTGGCCTAAAACTCAAAATCTAACAGATTTTTTTTTCTGGGCCATGATGTCCTTTTCAAAATGGCCACCTAATCGTGGGCAGGTTCTGACCAAACTCCCATTGACAACAACAGGCGTTGGCAGCCATTTTGAAAGAGGACAGTTCCACATGGTCTTCAGTGTAATAAAAAATTATTCCTCAGGGGTCCTCCTGAAGTTATGAACAGTAATGCAATATAGTACCATTAATCAAAAATACCTTCATATGCAATCTAGGCATATGAATTCCATTTAGTTTAAACTCTAAAGGAAGTTTGAAGTGTCTGTGTTATTACATTATTAAGATAATTTGAGATACAGAAACAATCTGCTACTGGGAGCTAAATTTCTTAAAGGACCAATTTTTAAAATTAACTTTTACCTTTAAAATCTCAGAATATTAATTCTAAAAATATCAAAAAGTGCTATAATTTTTGGGAGGATATGCTGTTTTCTTCATACACAACATAAGTAGTTGAATCC